GATGGACAGCTTGGCTGCTGTGATAATGCGCTTGGTTAAAAGATGATTGAGTTCGTCAATTGTAAGACTTTCGAGACGAGAATATGCTAAAAGCGATGCCTGCTTGAAAAGGCCCCAATCAGCCTTGTCAAGCTTCCAACGAGGCGGGCGTGTATGAATTAAGGTGCAACCCCACCGTGCATGAGGTTTTCATGCTTTTTTGATGGCTTATAACTTTCTTTCTATGTATCTTACATTTATGAAATTAATGCCAAATTAAAGAGCTGTTTTTCAACGAAACTTTAATGTCTCAATATTACCATTATTTTTAGTGGTTAGTTAATTACTTAGCATTTAATAGACCACAGTCTCTAATATTGAAAAAATTATTTCTCGAGTTATAACGTCCCATCGTCCACGATATTTTACGTGAGCGTTCGGTTGAATGTAATAAAGTAAAACAGTAAGCAACGAACTGTACGGATAATGTATATTTTAAAATAAAAAATAAAGTTTAAAATGGTATTATTTTATGGTGCTATAAAAACGGAATCACGTCTACTAATCAAAATAACGAGACATTAAATTATGAAGCATCCTTCGATATTACAATTTCCAGAACTTCCATATTGATATATTACACGTTAGTAATGTTATAAGACCTCAAACTTTTCCCATTCAGTTACGGCAAAATGTAGTTTCTTACTATTAAATACAGATGGCGACACGTGTTCAAGAAGAGCTTGATGTGCATTTTCCGTCGTGTGCCGCTTGGAACGCCACGTGAAAGACAGAAAAAGTGCCAGATGTCAAGGTGTCAGATGCCTGGATGCTCGCGGTGAGCGAGCCAGAGATGTCAGAACAACAAGCGCGAGGCTGCGGGTGCACCACAGCCACTTTTGCGCGCGTTCTACTGTGCGTCGGTTCACGTGCCCGACGCGATCCAAATAAAATGGGCGCCATGAAATGCATTCTGCCATTTCAGATTTCGCCACGTATGCGAAAACATTTTAATGTTTTTATCACATTCAAAAATCATTTTCGCAATCAAACTATGCTTGTCGGAATGGTTCGACTTATTTTGTTTCAAAAACCACCTCGGTGGCTCTTAAGTAGCAATGATATTATAACAAAAAACAAAACATTAAATCGTCTCGGTGTCTCTGGGCTTACGCGCTGGCCCATGAATCCATATTTGCCGGATTTAAATATCGGCCGAGGTGCTCGTAATCCGACGAAGGCCAATCTGAGATTTCGGTTGAACGTCAAAAGATCTCCAGTTAGTCAAAATAAACCCGCATTATTTTTTTTTTATTGGGGCGTGTTAAGTGATTTTTGTTGGTTTGGCTTGTGAGAAACTAAGATATGAAAGTTTGCTTTGCTTTACCTTAGTTCGGAGCGCAGCCAACGCTACAGACTGATGACGCCACTGAAGCAGCGCATAGAGCGCGAGGTCAAGCAGTTCGTCCTTTTTCTGTGGGTGTGCGGTCGGGACAAAGTAGAGCTACTAAATAAGCCACGCTTCATACACATATTGGTGCTTAAAATGATGGTTGTCAGTTATCTGAAGCTGTATCTGAAATCACAAGAAACGCTTTTCCGTCCTCCACAAATGTTTAAACAATTCGAGAAAAAGCAAAGCAATATACGTGAACTACCTGGCACCGAATGCTGAGGAAGTCGCACTTTTGAATCATGACGATCGGCAGTTGCGTTTGATTTGTTACTAACCAACAAGATGGTGGCGCCCACAACAATATTGGGGGGGGGGGGGGGGGGGGGGGGGGAAAGGTGCCGACACTCTAAGCGTAGCTCATTTGGTTTACCTAACAGGCTAAACCAGCTAAACCAAGCGCGGTGGGGGATCGTTGGCCGAGTGTGTTGTGGCACCGCCACTGGGCACCGCAGACCAGAGCACGTGGAGAAATGCTCGAGCGCGAGCTCCGTTCAGGGCACGGAGCTCACGCTGCAGAACCAGTAGCGACTTTATCCCCTCGATGCAATTTGCGCTGGTCTTTAATATAACCTCAAATGTGCCAGTGCACGAGGCCCGTCTCTCGAGCGGCCCTTGGAGGCAAATGGCGGCGCAGCACTAAAATGTCTGGCCCTTGAAAGAGAATGGCGGTGGAGCACCCACTCGTGGCACGTGTTTTGCGCGTTTCCACAACAATGGTTGGCGGTACTCGTAAAAAACGCTTTTACCAAGGGGCTTTAGCAGGGACCCTGGGTTCAGTCGCCTATCTGCATCCTATCGTCGTGCGACCGTGTACCACATATACTGCGTAATGCACGTTAATAACACCGAGCTAACAGTTGTATTGCACTTTTTATAATCTTCAACGGGTAACAATATCGCCTTACGAAATTCCTGCTCTCTAAAAAACTAACGACTAATTCTGAATGCTCCGTTACATTGCACTTTAATGTGAGTTCGCGTGTTCGCGTTCTTTTTTCTACATTTTTGATTACGCGGTTCTTACTTATGAAGCAGACTATAGTTGTCGGACTTCTGGAAAATATTATGTAACTAAAAAAATAGCACATAAACGCAAAAAAAAAAAAAAAACAGCAACAACAACCACATCAAAAACATACACATAGGCGCACTTAATAAAAATATTTGAAATAATAGAATTGATTATAATTGTGTTTTCAAAGGTTTGAGCGCACCAAAAAGGCTATAAAATCAAGCTCGATGCATTGGATGGTGCGCTTGTTCACTGGAAGTGTAGTTCAAGGCACTATGCTCGCACTTTTATGTTCAGCTTCGCTCACACGATAAAATCAAATGCTCTACTGGTAATGTATTTAGTGAAACAAAGCTACCTTCTGCATATGTACAAGGCCCTCAGTTTTCGCGTGATTACACGGACGCTTGTTTATCATTATTGTTTTCGTTTCCCACTGTGATTCAGGTCGTGCTCTTTTGTGCGCTACATGCATTAGATACCAAGGTAACTCAGGAGCAATTTATTTCGCGGATTGTAAAAAAAACCTATACAACTTGACACGGGTGCCACAATCAATACAAAATATTTTATAAGCTTCACATGTGGCCGCTGGCTTGAGTAAACATTCTTGTTTGTCAAAAACAATTGCGATTGTATGAAATCACGTGGGAAAAACTCGTTCTAAGCACACGACCGTTAGCATGCAGTGAATACTCATAATCGGCGCCGAGATGATTGGTAGCTGTCAGTGGGTGGCGTTTTTCTATCAGCACAGAGTTAGAATGTTTCCTTCTTTCTGTTGTAAGCAAACAGGAGACAACTTGCACCAAATCTTAGGGTAATAAAGTACTATGAACATTAAAACATTACTGCCTGAGCAGTATATGCGTGCAAACTGCTTTTGATGCACGCTTAACTTTCGATGCGCTCAACGCTAGTGTAAAATGTTGCGCTGTTTCAGTCTTAATCAGCGTACCATGTGCGTGCTTACACTGCATTTAATGCAACGTCAAACTCTACCCGTTCGCATCTTTTTCATTTATGCACACCACTACTTGTGCGCATAAATCACCAAATTAAGACTGGTGCAGAATGTCACAAAAAAAATTTAGTTTTTTTTTTACCCAAAATAAACTACGATTGCCTAACGCTCATTCTCCGCCCAAAGGTAGTGCTAGGTCACAAACAGATGCCAAAGTTTTATCCCAAACGGACACCTTATTCAAAAGTTATAAGTGATTTTCTGAAAACTTCAATGGGAAAATAGAGCCCTTTTTTGTCCGTTTTCGGTTTCTGGTGCCATAGAGCCCCATGTATTCGAAAACTACGTCGGCCGCCATTTTCCCATTGAACTTTTCAGAAAATCACTTATAACTTTTGAATAAGGCATCGGATCGGGCTGAAACTTTGACATCTGGTTGTGACGTCTAGCGCTAACTTTGGGCGGAGAATGAGCGTCCGGCGATGCCTAGTTCATTTTTGCGGCATAAAAAACAAACAAATCCTGTATTTTTTTTTTTTTTTTTTTTGTGACACACTGTACATTGCTTAAAGGGACCATGAAACGATTCTGAACTCGAATTTCATACACTGCACGTCGTAAAAGGTGTGAAAAGAAACACAAAAACACAAAAATAGGGAGCCAAAAAAAAATGATTCGCTATAAAGCTTTTAAAAGAAAACTGGACTGTTTTGCGCCTTCTTTCCTTCGAAAGCTTTCTGCCTTTTCACTGCGATGCATCCGCGGAATCGCTGCACATCAGCCGAATCCACGTCGCCTATTGGGTAAGCCAGCACCATCACCAGCACCGCGATTGTAAACGATAAATAGCCGGCGAATGTTTCCTAAAAGTTTTGTTAAATAATATTCAGGTCCACATTTGGTAGCATAATTAGAGATGTGACGAAAATTGCCAAGTTTGATAAGGCTTAGAGCCAAGCGCCATCTATCGTGTGGTAAACGAAGCAGGGGCGGTAGGGCCGACGGGCCGACCAGTGTTACCAACTGTAGGGACATGTCCCTAAACGTAGGGACTTTTTGCAAATTTTTGGTCCACTAGGGACGTAGGGACGCCCTGCCACTTTTACAGGAAAACGTGGGGACTTCCACAATCGCTGCCATCTTTTTTTTTTAATTTACGGAAATTTTTAATGTTCATTTAAAAACTCAATTGTGTTGTCTGGACTTTAGGCATTTTTTTATATTTCTTGCTTGAACAAAGTTACTTCTGGAAACACCAGGTGGCGCCACAGATCGAACAGACATTATATTAAACGCGATAAACACACTGCGGCGCGCTTTTTGATAAATATGTAACATCGTTTCTCTTGTGCACCTCGATCCTGAAGCGTGGAGCAATTGTGGGTTTCTGATTGGCCGCACCCAAGCACATGACCACCTGCTTTAACGGAAGTAGCAGACGACACGCACGACCGCGGTCGTTTCCTCGTGGTTTCGCTTGTTTAGTCCTCCTTTCAATAGTCCTCCCTCCCTTCGCCCTTTCTCCTTTCATTTCCAAAACCATACCGATTCCGACCGGTGACTTTGATTAGCCCCGTATAGAACAAACGATGGCAGACCAACACGCTGGACCGTCGTCAGTGACGACACCGAAAAAGAAACGAAAAGTCCGAGGGGAACTGGCAAAGGATGAAGCCGAACCTTCGAGGAAGCAGCGCTTCCGCGAGGCATGGTTGGAGCATCCGGAGTTCAAGGGATGGCTAGCACCGGACCCAAGAAACCCATTTCGTGCATCATGTAAGGCCTGCAACGCAAGCCTGGTCGCCGGACACAGTGAGTTGACCAAACATTCAAAAAGAGATGCCCATATAAAGGCAACCGCGGGGCTGAGAAAGCAGAACTTGATCTCAGCATTCGTACAGAAGTCAAACCCGCACGAACAGAATGTAAAGACTGCTGAGATCAAAATGTCGGCTTTTGTGGCTGAGCACGCCTTATCCTTCAAGGCAATGGATCATCTGGGCGATCTCGCTAAGGTGGTCTTTCATGACTCGGCCATTGCCAAAGGTGTGAGTCTTCACAGAACGAAGTGTGAATCTATCGTAAAAAACGTGTTGGCAAAAGCGGAGACTGAAGTTCTCGCGCACAGGCTGGGAGCTTCGAAGTTTTCGATATTTGTAGATGAGGGCACGGACATAACGAACACCAAACTCCTCTGCTGTGTCGTCCGCTATTTTTCAGAAGAGCAAGACCAAGTAATCACACAGCTGTTGGAAGTCATCCCACTTGACGCCAGGTCGTGCTCATCAGAGTCGCTTGCCTCAGCTGTGGAGAAATGCCTGTCTGAGAAGAAAGTCCCGCTAACCAACATAATCGCGCTCGCATGCGACAACGCTAGTGTGATGGTGGGGGAGCGCAACTCCCTGATGACAAGGCTGCGAGAAAAGGCGGATGACAGTTTTATAACCATCCGCTGCATCTGTCACTCGCTGCATATAGCAGCAAGCAAGGCAGCTCTAAAGCTTCCCAGGAATGTTGAGGACCTCTTGAGAAACGTCGCCAACTACTTCAGCCATAGCTGTAAGCGTCAGGCTCAGTTCGCTGAACTCCAAGAGTACCTCCACAAAGAGAAGAACAAGATACTGAGACCAAGTGAGACGCGATGGCTTGTGCTGCACCAGTGTGTAGAGCGCGTGCTCCAGGAATGGGAGACCTTAAAATTGCTCTTCTTACAGGCAGCTACAGAGGACCGCATTGTGGCCGCTGTGCTGATCTTGAAGGACATGAACCCCATCACGGAGGCGTATCTCAAGTTCATGCAATATGCGCTTGGCTTCTTCAACAAGCTTAACGCAATGTTTCAGAACAAGGACAGCCTAATCGCAGTCATTCAAGAGGAAAGCCAAAGACTACTGAGGTGCCTATGCCAGAATTTCATGAAGCCGTCTTCTATTGAGGACCCTGCTAAACTCAATCCACTCGACCCCAGAAATCTGCTGGCCTTGGAGGAGCTGTACGTTGGAGCAGGCTGCCAGGGAATCCTGGACAAGATCACCATGGAAGGAGGATCATCCGAAGTTCGTGACTTCAAGCTGCGCTGCATGTCTTTTTATCAAACCGCAGTGCTCGAAGTCCAGAAAAGGCTTCCGATTTCCGGACCCTTCTTCCACGAAGTGCGGTTTGTGCAGCCCTCAACGGCATTGAGCTACGAGGCCCGGAAACGTCTGCCATCGTTGCCCGTGCTTCAAGATCGCTACAAGCACCTCCTACCCAGTGTCGGCGATGTTGAGCAAGAGTGGCGAATGCTTCCCTCGTTCTTCACAGAGAGTGAGAAGATTGAGCTGCAAACCAAGTCGCCAGACGCGTTCTGGGGTCAGGTGAGCAAGACGAAGACGTTCGATGACAAACTAGTACTTCCTAACATTGCTACCCTGGCAAAGCTGGTCCTCACCCTTCCTCACTCCAATGCAGAAACAGAGCGCATCTTTTCAATGTTGAGTGACATGAAGACCCGTAAAAGAAACAGGCTTGGGCCGGAGAGTGTCAACGCCCTGCTCTTGGTCAAGTCAGCCATGGCTACCCGGGGAGAGACGTGTGTCAACTTCACTGTGAAAGAAGGACACATGAAGCTCTTTAACAAGGAAATGTACAACTAAGAAGTTTTTTTCCTTTTCAACATCTGTGCATACATGTTTTTTTAATCCTTACTTTTGGTCACTGGAACGTTATTTTGGGCCACCAGAGCGTTTTAATAGACATAAGCAGGGGACGATAGCAATCACTGCAATACATGGCAATTTTCCTGTTTTCCGTTGCAACTTTTGACTGAGGCAAGTATTATTTCTTTAATAAATTTACAAATTAAATCCACCACCATCTAGAGTGTCGTAGCTTACGCATCCGAATTTTTAGATTTATTTCGGTCTCGGCACGACATCGGTACCTCTAGAGAGTCGTAATCATGACGTTACTGAACGCTCGCGTAATGACATTAGGGAGTTTTCGTAGACCGCACTACCCCCTCCGCTAAGCGTTCCGCAACGAAGAAGTCGCTACTGCGCCTGCGCGCCGATAGCCTTGACTGTGGAGTTCACGCTATCGTAGCGAATTGCGGAGAGCCTTGCGGGACGGCGAAAACGTTCTACGAAACCTCCCTATTGACAGGGGCTCCATTCGGATCAGAATTTAGTTTCATACACTATCCCACCACGGTAGAAACAAATGCACAGCCCGTGCGGCCTACTCTTTGGAACTGCCCGCTATCACAAACAAGCACGAAGGTGCTCACGTGAGGCGGATTTGCATGTTTGCTGCTTGAAGTGATAATAAATTATTATTATTATTAAGCGAGCAACGGGCCGTCGGGATTGGCACGAGAATGTCCTCTCTTCTGCGCTAAATTATTTACACCAGTGGCCTACACAGAACTCTCGCATAGGAAAATCACTATTAGAAGCCCCGCGAAAGCGGCCATTCGTCCAAGACTGCACAAAGCGCCGCTTGAAACTTCGAGAATGCAGGCATGATCGAGACGAAGTCAGGAAAAGGAAACGGGAGCAATGGATATCCTAAAATGCAAACTGAAAGGCACAGGGCGTGCAGTTCACGTAAGATGTCTGTTTTCGTTACATTTACCGCCACTAAACGAATTTGGAAGAGAATGAAAGGACTAGGTGAACGAGGACTAATTTACTCACTAAAACAGGAAGAAAAGAATATTCCCCACTTCTAATTAATTAAATTTCAAGGAAGACTACAGCGTCAAGGGCCCTACTGTGGTGCATATGCCGTAAATGCAGCTGTTTTTTTTTTTTTTTTTTTTTTTTTTTTTTTAGTAGGGACGGGCGTAGGGACTTTCGGTGCTGATGTAGGGACATGTAGGGTTTTTCAGAGATGTTTGTAGGGACTTCCGCAAAAAATAGTTGGGAACACTGGGGCCGACAGCATTGGGCTCAGCCAGAGCCTGGCTCAGCTACTTGGCCGCGACGATGAAGGAACGTTTATTTTTCTACGTGCTCTTCTCGCGCGTCCCGACTTCAAGTAGCAATAAAAAAGTACTTGAAACAGACCACGACGAACAAGAACGCTGGATCCACAAACACCCGAGAAAAGCCAGAACGGCACAAATTCACCGAACCGAAACCAAGCGAGCTCGGCAGATAGGCCTAGCAGGCACTCCGAAGCAGGCACTCCGGCTCCGGCGCAGCGCTGCTTCGAGGCTACTTGGCCAAGACCGTCTGCCCACGACCGGCTGGCGTGCTGAATGAAATATGCCCGCGCGACCCTTGTGGACCCTTCCCGTATTTTGATCGCTGACCTCAATTTTAGATTAAGGGGTGAGGTCAATCTCTTTCCCTTGTTTTTCGAGGCAGTGTTGACGAACACTGTCGTCGACTCTATCTTCTTGTTTTGTGTGATATAGAGCTCAAATGAACGCCGTATGGATTACCTTCGTAACGCGGTGTGTACACTTTGTTATTAGTTTGCCATTTTTATTCTGACAGACTTCACGTCACTGTCGAGCTATAACAGTTCGTGGGAGGTATACGCGCAATGCCGGCGCAACCTTCCTTTGCCGAGTGTCGCGTCAGTATCGAGTTGCAATTGTAGGAGATCGGTCCCGAAACGCTTACCAACAGCGCGAATACAGCATTTCCATCAAACGCGCGCGTCCGCTCCGAGTGTGAACAGGTATTTACGTGGCTCTTGCTGACACTCTCGTAGTTCAAACGTATCTTTCTTAACGTCGGCTCGCTCCTGCATCTCCGAGGCCGCGATAAACGCCGCGGCCATTTGTCTCTATCTACGTCGCTTTGCAAACGACAGACACGGGCCGCCTTTTACCAACAATGACAGTTGGGTTAACTTCTGGAGTCTTCGCCGGAAGACTCGCCGCACTTCCCAACAGGCATACCGGGGTATGGGACTAGTCCCATGCTGTCGCTGTAGCGCAACATATATCATTGAATTTCGTTCAGCTGCGATCTGTCCATGGCTTGCGCGGCGATGAGAGGCGCCGATTCAGAAAATACATCGGTTACATCAGCTCCATCAGCGCAGTAAAACCTACCGGCACACCGCCAACTCGCCGCCGCTAACTGCTAACGCTCCCATGCTCCTAGTGCCGAGAGAACTTCCGGTTCCTGAAACAGGGTACGTCACGACCGTCAAAATTACACCGCAGCTTGTTTTGCGGTCAGTTGGAGGGAAAGAAAAAGTCGATATTTCATTATTTATTTTTTTTGTGTAGGAATTAATAAACCGAGACGAAAACGGATGCCTGTTCGGCATTCAGTGCACATTGACGGTTTAATGCAAAAGTTATATGGCAAAAGTAAAAAGGTCATTTCATGGCATTTCATTTTTTAACCTATGTGCAAAAGCTATCCACAGACCTAGAATCTTTGCCTGACCAGTCATGCATTTATCACTGGATTCGTATTAAAACTAATTTTTATAATTGATTGCTGTAAGTGAATTAGTAACCTCGGCATTTTTTTATTATGACTCCCGCACCACTCCTACTTTGGGCTTAACAAACTCAACATCTAAACCTGAGTGTTATTTTTTGCGTTTTCCAGCCTCGTGGTTTTGGTCAAACTAAACACCCAGCTACCTAAATGAGACACCTGACCGCCCAAAAGATAGTTAATTTGTTTTAATATTTTAGGTAGTTAATTCCTCAAGCTGGAATTTTGGAAACCAATGTCTATCACGTCATCACGTTTTCCTGGAAATCCACACATGCACGGCAAAAGGGCCGGTCCGTCTTATTGCCGCCCGCAGAGCCAAAAAAGCAACGCTCGGTCAGGGACTTCTAGAAGATTCGCGTTCATTGTAGCACCAGACGTAACTTTCGCCCTGCTTTCTTCTTCTCGAAAGTGCCAGTTCATCCTTGCCCCAAGCACGTGACGCTCGAACCTTCTTTGCCGAACTTTCAAGATAGTGACGCACTGTAGATAAGAAGCTGCCCGCGACATTGTCGAGTCAGTCTCGCTCTCGCTCTCTATTACGCTGCCGAATCGCCGCCGGGTTTCTGCTGCCTCGACGCTCTTTCTTTACTTTTTTTGTTTGGCACAAGTTCGCCGATGAAACCTTTATTTTTCAGTTCACTGTTCGTCCTCTCGTCACCTTCATTTGTGACAATAGAAATCTGATTGCATTGAGGTATGTGTAATTGGCCTCTGAAATCTCCGGTAACGGCGCACGGGCAATTTTATATTTTTCAACGCGTCGGTGGTTTTGTTATGCATGTGTCTCGCCATTTGGCTCAGGACGATTTTCGAGTTTTGTTTTGCCACATTTGCTGGAGACGTGAGCTCGGAGCGTAGGCAACTAACTGGCCCCCTTGCACGAGAACTGGCGGAGGCGTGCGCGTTCCAAAGAAAGCTCGTGCAGAGAAGAACAAGCCAGGGACCAGGGATGTCAAATTCAGGACATAGAAAAATACCCCACTGTATCGAAGCGCCACCACACACGATTTCTCGCATTGATGTACAGGCCTGGAAGGCGATCCCACCGCCATCTATCGGTTCAGAATCACACTAACCAAGGGTGGGGTTGCACCTTAAAAGAGGGGCTACGCTACAGGTTAAAAGAGTAGGAAAATGATCGCTTCCCACGTGGATTGAATCCACACTCCAGGAAAAATCTGGAAGTAAACTAGCAGAACCAATTGAAAGGTCGGTGGAAGTTGATGACAAAGATGATGGACTAAAATAGGTTGGCTGGCCCGTATTAAAAAGACAAAGACTTCGTGTGGTTAAAACTGACTCCACAATTTTTCCTCTGACATCCAGATGTGTGCTCCCCCATGAAGGGTTGTGACAATTAAAATCGCCCATCAAAAGGAAAGGCTCAGGAAGCTGGTCTAACAGCGAGTTAAAATCTGAACATTTCAAAGTAAAGGAGGGTGGCAGATATAAAGAGCATACTGTAAGAGCCTTATGGTGCAAGAACCGAACAGCCACTGCTTCAAGTGGTGTGGACAGTGGAACCTCTGTGCAGGGAACTTCTCTCGGGAGAACCATCCGCAACTCCCCCAGAGGAACTGACAGAGCTCGGACGATCCCTCCGGAAAACCTGGTAACGTCTGAGGAAATTGGTATGGCTGGGACTCAAATGAGTTTCTTGCAAGCACAGCGCTCGTGGCTTGTACTCCTCCAGAAGGTGCTCTACATCATCCAGGTTTCTTAGAAGGCGACGACAGTTCCACTGTATGAGTACTGAAGCCCTTTTAGGCACAAAAACCGGAGCACATGGAAAAGTGAGTCAGTTGCCTCACTTCGGAGGAGTTACGAGTTTTTTCGATTTTTGTTTCTTCGTAGTCTGCCACTCCATCTCATCCTGGTCAGAACCCGGAGTCGATGAGGGGGCAGACAAGGCAGCGCCAGTGTTCACCTGTGCCCCGCAGGCAGACTTGCCTGCTAGCCCGGGAGGGTCTGTGCCGCGGGGCCCTAATCCGCGGCCACGACCAGAACTAGGTGGAAGGGTGGTCGATGTACTGGGGAGGGGTTCTACCCCATCCATCTGTTCCACCTCTTTTCCCGACGAGGAACCTGCGTGCGAGCCACGCAGCTCCTTGGTTGCTGGCTGCCTCTCCAGGGACTGAGACCGAGGGCCTCGCTTCTTCTCCTTAGGAGAGCGGCCAGTGTTGACAGGTGCAGACGGTGCTGACCTGTCCTGACCAGAGGAAGCAGCTAAGGCGCCCTCCCTACGAGAAGGGGGAGCCTGCTGACCCTGCTCCATAGTCTTGAAGGGGAAGGCGGGCACGGCTATTGCTGGCCCGTCCTTGCCCAGGGGAGCAGCATGCCGCTTCTCTTGATGGGATGGGGCCCTTAGGTCAGCCGCCAAGATCTCAGGAGAGACCTGAGTAACCCTAGTCTCCGAGCGTGGTGCAGGACCCCTGCGCACCACCTCGGCGTAACCTCCCTTTGAGAGGAACGACAGCTTCTTCTTGGCTTCCAGGTAGGGGATATTTTCCTTTGCCTTTAAGGAAAGAATTTCTTTTTCTTGACGCCAAAGGGGACAGGTGCGGGAGTAAGCTGGGTGGGGCCCACTGCAGTTACTACAGCGGGCCGCCGCCTCGCAGATGTCAGCAACATGTTCCTGGCTTCCACATTTCGCACAAGTTTCTTTTCCTCGGCAACTGCGTGACCCATGCCCAAAGCGCTGGCAGCGGAAGCACCGTTGCGGGTTGGGAACATAGGGACGGATGAGACACTGGAGATAACCCGCCTTCACTGTTTCAGGGAGGGTGTGTCTCGCAAAGGTCAAGATCACATGCTTTGATGGAGTTTCCTTGTCATCCTTCCGAAACATAATACGTTTGACAGCGACAACACCAGCATCTTTCAGTCCTTCCAGAATTTCTTCCTCACTAGCATCGAGGAAGTCTTCTTCAGAGAAGACTCCACGGATCGTGTTGAGCGTCCGGTGAGGGCTCGCGGACACTTCGACGTCCACTATGCTGGTCATCTTGGAGAGTGCCTCACTTTGAACTTTTGTATTTACTTCAACGAGAAGGTCGCCGGAGTGGAGTTTTTTCGCTTTGTGTGAAAACCCAATGGAGGTTTTCTAGCACCTTGGCTACCACAAAGGGGGACAATTTCGACACTGGTTTGTCTTCGAGGTTCGAGTGAATGACAAAATGCAAATGTTCCCATTTCAGGGGCTTTTTCAGTGACATAGGGCTCAGGGCGAGGCCTATTGGAAGCGTGCCTTGAACCGGGTTTAGAGAGGAGGGGCGCCATATGAGGGGCAAAAAACTTCGGCATCTGTAGCGCACCACCCACCACGGAGTCCAACGAGGGGATAGGTAACATCTCATAACAGGTCTGGCTTGTCTGAGTATGTTACTCTACTAGTGCTACTAGGATGCTATAACCAAGTGGGGGTAAAGAGAGAGTTCTGTAGCCACCCAAGGTTAGCCCTTGCCGCCAAAGGAGTTGAAAAAGGAAAGAAGAGAAATGAGAAGAGTGAAAAGAAGGAGAAGACAAGCGTGAAAGAAGGGAGGGGATAGTAGAAGTGGCGATTGACTGAATCATCCTGGTCGGGTCAAGCCAGGACACCAGTCTACGGGAAGCGGGGGCCAAAGTGGTGTATTGCCTCGCCCGGGGGGCCCCGAAGGGTCCAAACCTACCCCGGGCTCGGCTCAACCACCAGGATGCCCTTTTCCCCCGGACACGTGAAAGCCACGCACAGCCAGACGTGGGCGGGCGAACCCGCATGGCTCGGGGTCCGTGGAGACGCCACCCTCCAAACACCTGCTTTCACAGGTGCCCCCTGCGGGGTTCTACGTGCAGGCGTCGATTTTTCCGGTTCATTTTAGATCGAACCTGGTGACTTGGGACACCCTATATATTAACGTGAAACGTTTTTTGGATAGGTATTCGGCATTTTGTGAAGCCTGGATAAAGGTGAAGTTTGCTAAAAGCGTGGCTTTTTAAGTGAGGTGGCGGAAAAAAGGGGAGAGGCCAACGCAGTGAAAAGAAAGCCCTTGCACCAGGCGGGAATCGAACCCAGACCATACAGATTATTAAACGAGTGCCTTTTCAGATTGTCACATCACCGTGAGTTGAGGTGCCATTTGGTGGGAAATCCCTGCGGGCATCTGCACTGCGTCCGGCAGATACCAAGCAGACTTCCTGCCACACGTTTTAGCGTTCTTTGGCTATAGACGTTCGGCATATCGCGAAGCCCAAATCAAAGCATGGCCGCGAGGCTTGATACCGATTATAATCGTTATCGGGTGGGAAAGAAGTGAGCTGCTCGACGCTGATTGGTTAACGGGGAGGTCATGTGACCAAAAGGGCAGTCGAGGAGGAGCTCGACCACCTGTACGCACTGAGCTGGGAGAGAAGAGCTCGAGAGTATGGGCGGAATGTAGCTTTGTAAGTCCTTCGTTCAAACTAGCCTCCTCACGCACACACGCACAGAAATATAAAAAAATCCTGCTTAGGGTACCAACCCGCAGCCCATAGGAGATCCAGAACCGAAGAATGTCTAAAACACGTCAAGATTGCGTCCGGACATTTCATCGAACGCCGTTTCATCGAATGCCGTTTCGTCGAAGCCGTTTCATTGAACACCGTTTCATCGAACGCCGTTTCCTCGAACGCCGTTTCATAGAAGCCGTTTCATCGAACCCCTTTTCATCGAACAACGTTACAGTCTGTAATATTTTTGAATTCGCTTTAATTTTTATACGCAACTTAATTCATCTAATTCTTTTTTTTTTTTTTCTGTTTTTATATCACTGGGTGCAGTGACGAGATAAGTTCCATCGTGAACATATCCTACTTCGAGAAGAAAGCCTCCATGAAACAATGACTCCTCTCCATGTCACATGAAACAATTAAAAATGAGACAAAAACAGAAAGCAGACACTTAGAAGTGTTTTAAGTGTCTGTCTTTTATTTGCAGTGTCGTGGTTTCAGTCATGTGTGTACATGAGTAAAGCTTTTAAGTAAGTCGCATACCCAATTGTTTTTATTTCTTTTTATGCCAATTGTCTTTATTCTTAGTAATTTGACACCACCTTCAAAACAATTTCACAAGTGCAAGGTGAAACATCTATAAAGCACTGTTATGCCCCAAAACTCGGTACAGAGCCATAACAGAGAAATTCGATGAAACGGCGTTCGATGAAATGTCCGTTCATTCGATGAAACGGCTTTCGATGAAATGACGTTCAAGGAAATGTCCGTTACCCCGTCAAGATCCTGTATTTCCCCTACATGGTCTTTGCGAAAAGCAAGGTTTCGAGGTTGGAAGAAGTTCATTGTTATGAGTGCTAAATATATGTCTTCACACAATAAAGTAATCGGAAAAGTAGCGGTTACTTCTTAAAGTAATGTCCAATTGCTTTTGCTGCCGAGTAATCAAGTAATCTAATACTTTTTAGCCATGAGTAATAGTAATTGTAATCAATTACTTTTTTTTAGTAACGTGTACAAGACTGATGTCAGCGCATGTCCGGGCGGTTAGCGGCATACCCTACGCCTTGTAAGCGCATCCGCGCTGTGTGAAGTCCACACCCAACATGGCGAAAAGCCCTGTCCTTCCGTGACGTCACGTGCAAGGCATGCACGGGCGTCTGGCAACTGTTATGTTGTTGTTTTGTTGGCCTCGCTTATCAACGCTAGCGAGGGCGTCACCGTCAACCTGCTGCGACAGCGGCTCATAGTGCCGTGTTGGAACAGATAAAAGCGTCTGCGCCTATATAGCAGCGTGAGGCTCTTCTTCGTCCTGCTGCCGAGAGGCAATAAACGCAGTCAGACCAACTACAGTCTCCGCCTCGGTGGGCTGCCCGCAAACGTAACACAACCCAGTATCGCTAAACGTTTGTGATGCAAGAACGTTTCAGGTATCCAACACAATTGCCCAGCAAATCGCCATACAATTTGAGATCGCTAAGTGCAGGCGCCATTTCCAGCACCAGAGTAACAGAGTTTATGCCAGCGGAAGCAGGGGCGGATGCAAGGGGGTGGCACGGGGGCGGCCGCCCCCCCCCCCCCCCTTTTCCCCCCCGAAACAAGGTCGACCCACACTCCTCCCACCTTCTTGAAGAACATTTTAACCCCGGTGCACAAAAAAAGAAAAGGAGAATAGTATTTTTACAAGGCTTCCCCCCCACCCCCACCCCCACCCCCCCCCCCCCCCCCCAAAAAAAAAAAATAATAATAATAAAAACGGAGCCCTGGGTCTGCCCCTGAGCGGAAGGGCATATAACTCATCACGCGATATATGATGACCGGTATAGTGAGGAATCCTAACAACGGCGAATCGGAATAAAAAAAGTTTATTTTACGTAAAACAGACCTCGCAAGGCCTGAATAAAACCACAAGGCTGGAGCAGTTACACCATTGGTTAAGCCGCCACGGCGTCTTCTGCTGTGGTCGCATCAGCGGAAGACTCGTGTTCAGCTAGCCTGTCCGACGAGCCCCCAGTCGGTTGTTCAGCGGACTCGTCAGATGGCTTGTTAGAAGACCTTTCAGTCGGTTGTTCAGCTGTCTCGTTCGGGCCCTCGTTCCGGGCAACAGGAACCTGCTAAGGAATGAACGACATGTAAACAATAATGTAAGACATAAGAACCACTGTTGATTTATGCAAATTTATGCAAAAGGCACGCAGGCTGAAAGCCATGCAAGTTCGCTTTCGGCTTCAAGAATCGACGCGATATTCAAAGAGACGCACCAGTCTAGCAAGGCGGGTACGGCTTCGGCTCTTGCGGGACGTGCGCCGAGGCCGCGAACGAGGAGCGAAGGGAGATGCATCCCAGTGGTCATGATGACGGCATACGATTAGACCAGGAGCTTGGCAAGGGTCCGTGGCGAAAGCAGACGACTCAGAACGCCAAACCATGTAAGAATTGGACACTGTCGCACGTACTGGGCCTTGTGGAGGGTCCATAGGGACAGTAAAGAAGAACCGAACTCGGCCAATCCGCTGACGCAGGCCAGTAATCCAAGCAGCGAGTTGGGCTTTGGCACAAGCAACTGTCTTGAAGACAACAGCGTCCAAGAGAGTGAAAAGTGTGGCAAAGTTTGGCGTACTCGAAGATGAGCGTTCGGGCAGGTCGATTGCTCGGGAAGCCATGTGCTGAAAAGACCGTGCGCGGAAGCGTCAGTGGAAAGTTGGAAGGCAAAGAAAGTTAGTGGAAAATACATGTGGCAATAATGGAACTACCTCGTCCAGGGCAGCATCAAAGGCCTCAAGCGCTTTCAAGCTGCAGTTGAAGGCTCGACGTTTGCACAATGAGAGAGACTGCACGGGGTGGATGGTGACATGAAGGGCACCTGCTGCAACTGTCTTCACGACTTGGGCCTAAAAGGGAGAGAAGAAACCGGCGACGAGCATTTAAAGTGGCGGCACGCCTAAATCAGTGAAGGGTATGGGACCGAACATGATCTTAGAACGTCCTCTTTAAGGTATATTAGAGTCCCAGTGAGAAGTTTGCAACCAGGTAAAAGCCACGCGCCAGTTTCCTTCCGTCGGGCTGCTCGTGCGCCGAAGTGCTATCGAAGGCAGAAAGCTCGCGCTCGAGGCGGAGCACACGGGATTCTTTCCTGCCACCAACTACGCGGGGCTTTTATCGATGCCATTAAATTCACCATTCTGTTATGAGCCGTCTGATGCGTACGCAAGCATTTCAAGGATCCAGTCACCGTGAAAACTTTTCTTGGCAATGCAGTGGAAGGTACAGGCCCGCGTCTCTCTCCCATTTTGAGTGTGCGCGGGCTCTCCTCCTCTCCCCGGAAATGGGGGAGGAAGAGAGCCTGCGTAACTTAAAAATGGGAGAGGGGACGCGGGCCTGTACCTTCCACTGCATTGCCAAGAAAAGTTGTCGCGGAGTATAATAACGATATGCCCACCATTTTGCTTTTATGAGTGTGCTTAGGCGAGCATCTTGAAGAATTAATCTGTCACTATCAAACTTTCATCTAAAAAGAAAATGGCGGACTAACGTCACGTGAAAAACACCCTATGGTACCCCACGTACCTTGGACATTCCGTAGTCCTTGACACTAACGAGCTTGGAAAGGCCGAAAGCCATTGTGTCGATCATGACTTCCCAGGGTTGCTTCTGGGCAAGATCCGTGTAGGCTGCTAGTCCTCGGCAGGCAAGACCGTCGACGTAGCTCAGCTGGGGACCGAACCTGTCCAGGACAGGCAGACTTCTTTCCCCGACGAGCTGGACACCGAGCTCAACCAGCTGCAAGGGAACGGCAACGAAGGCGCTGCTGTTCTTTGCGCGACCATATGACTGTGTTGCCACGTCGCGGAGGGCGATCACCGCCGGCAGAGCGGTCAGGCGAGCCACGAAGTTGAAGCGAGTCGTCCGCGAGACTTCGGCCGGCGCGACTTCGGCCGGCGCTTCTTGACCGGCGGAGGTGGCTTGACCTTGAGCAATCATCATCTGGAAAGCAAGCGGCGAAACGTGGGAAATCGCCACAGAACATTTAGCACAGTAGAGCAAGAAAACTGACGTACTACATATGGAACATTCGACGAGTCCGAACTTACCGAGGTCCGTCTGTTGTACCTGCGACCGTAGAACCAACTGATCAGAACTAGCAGGAACTGCCGCTGCCGTTTTTATCCTAAATCCGGGCGCAGTCGACGTGACGTCAAAAACGCCACGTCATGGTGTTCGTTATGTTTGTGTATGTGTTCGATTATCATCCAACCAATCATGAACAGGGATATGCACTTTTCGTATGTGTTCATGGTCGTATCTATTCGTGCCCTCAACCTGCGTGCCGACATATACATGTACACAACGAAGCGAAGCACATGCTGTGGTACTCATTCTGAGCATGCGCACTGCCATTCTTCTGCAAACTTCAGACGTTGCGCACGCGTAGCAGCCCAGTGACTCGACATTTTTCGCTTGGGTGATAAACGCTCGAAAGGAGGGTGGGACATATTCTATCTGTGATAGATATCATTGCTTCATGTCTAACATAAAGTATGTGATGGATATCATTGCTCCATGTCTAGCATACATATTCAACCTCGCAATATAATCTGGCACTTTTCCCCAAAAAATGCAAACTGCAAAAGTTTTAGCGCTGTTTAGAGCAAGTAACAAAAATGAAGTGGGGAACTACGTTCCTGTATTTATACATCCATGCGTTCTCAAAAAGTCTCGAAAAAATATTTCACTCTCGTGTTGTTAACTTTTGTGATAAACACTCTAAAATTACTGATGGTCAATTCGGATTTCGAAACAATAGGTCAACAGAGACAGCGTTATTGGTTCAGAAAGAAGAAATACTTAAAAATTTCAAAGAAGTGTTTGGCTGTATTAATCATTTAATTTTGTATAGATAAACTATATGCCTATGGCAGGCACGTAGCCAGGATTTTGGTTTTGGGGGGGGGGGGGGGGGGGGGAGGAAGGAGGGGCGCCCATGACAAAATGCTGTATGAGGAGGAGGGGGAGAGGAGGTCCTCCCCCCTCCTCCTCAGGAGGAGGGGGATTTTGGGGTGGGGGGGGGGGGGCGGGCCCCATGGGCCTCCCCCCTGGCTACGTGCCTGGCGTATGGCATTCGTGATCTTCCACATGCACTAATCAAATCCTATTTAGAATATCGTACCCAGGTTGTGCAAATTAATTATGGGAACTCAATTCCATTAATCATATCAGCAGGAGTGTCCCAAGGAAGTATTATAGGACCTCTTCTTTTTCTTTTATATATTAATGATACTGTGAGCATTGATTCAAGCTGTAAATATATAATCTATGTGGATGACACAAGTGTTTCTTTTTTTTTCTTCTGATATATCGGAAGAGGGCCTCATAAATAAAGCTAACGGATTTCTTGCGAAGTTAAAAGTATGGTCTGAATCCAATTGCCTGAATATAAATACTTCAAAAACAAAAGCAATAATGTTTCGCCCACGCGGTTCAAGTAACCGCGAGTTTATAGTCCTCCTAATTTCGAGTCTTCAAACATTAAATTTGTAAATAGCGTAAAAACTCTCGGAGTCATTATTTTTTTTTTCCAAACACATGCTCTGGACTAATCACGTGAAATATCTCTGCTCTAAATTAGGCAAAGTCGGAGGAAATATAAATAAGCATAGGCAAGTCCCTCGAACCAGCGTAAAAGAGGTTTTGTACAATTCCCTATATTATTCTCATTTATGCTACTGCACCCTTATCTGGGGTAATACGTCTTTCCCAAACTTACATAAATACACTTATTGCAACAAAAAAAAAAAAAAGTGCTAAGAATAATACAGGTAAAAGGTTTCCTACATACATCATACGCATTCAATGTTCAAATTATACAACATTATGAATATACACCAAATCTGTAACTATCGTTTAACGATGGCGTGTAAATATGCGGCACTGAGACGCCGAAATATAATTCTTCAACTGTCTGATTTAAAAGAAAAAAGCGTTTATTATTCACGGAGAAATCACTAGCCCTAGAAAATTCCGAAATGCAGGACCAACATGAAAAAAAAAAAAGTTGAAATTTTGTTAAAAATATCGATGTTGTGCAATTGTCAAACAGCCAAATAATCAATTTGTTCATTTATTTTCCTTTTTTTTTTTTTGACCACTGTATTATATATGCTCCGTCGTAGCTTCTGAATGGGGGGGGGGGGGGGGGGGGGCGGTGCCCTTGTAAGTTGCATTTCTGCAGCTTTTTCTCCGGCCTCCCATTCACCACTTGTATTTGGGGTGAAAAATAAAGTTTGTATCGTATCGTATCGTATCTGCAGCTTCCGTTAGTCGATGACACGCTGTTCTGTCTATGCCTGCGTACATGACAACGTAAAGGCAATGATCCAGCGTCCAGGACGTAGCGATCTTTAAAGGGATACTACAACGAAATTTCGGCGCTCATTTTTTGGTCTATATGTGTTCAAAAGAGCAGTATCACATGGAACATACCAATATCTTGTTAAAAAAGTCTCGAAAGGGAATTTTAAAACGAATTAAACGATTAGCAAAGAGCACCTGGTGGATGTCGCTAACGCCTCGTTTGTAATGCTCGTCTAGGAACCTTGACAGCTAGTGACGGAGGTTGTCTCGCCTCCGGCCACGACGAGAGAAGGGGGGAAGGAGGAACTCCCCTCTTCCCGAGAATCCCTTTTGTGTGTCGCTGAAGTCGCTATTGTCCCCCTAGAAGATTATAGAAGATTAACCCGTCACTCAAAATTCGTACAAAAGCAGCCGCTTCGGTGGCTGGAACGACTAGGCCATCCTCTCGACGTCAGCCTCGCCGTAACTTTGCTCGTCTTGAGACGACCTACGTCACGATTGCGTTGGATGTCACGTGCTCTAAGCTGGGCCTTCTCCGAGCGCTTGCCAAGTGGGCCGTTTATAATGAAAAATACAGCCACCAGGATCAAAATACAAACGTGCGATTGTCATTTACGGATATTGTGGATCATATTTAATCTATTTTTGAACACGACGGGAATATTTCAAATTTCGTTGAAGTATCCCTTTAAGCGCGGCGCGCCCGCGAGCGAACAGGCAAACAACTCGACCAACACGTTGTTTACAAACAAGCCCGCGTTTGCCCACCAGGCCTGACGTCAGAGAGTTGAGTTGGTCTTGCCGACGCTACGAGCTGATGGGATCAATCGGACAGCGTCAAAAGGGCACCATCATGGGCTGTGTTCCAAATCTTACTCATACGAATCCGAGTTACTCCGGCGGATCGTATCACGTGACAGCACAGATTGAAAAACGCTGGACGCGGGTAGGTTTTAGAACGCCAAGGGGTACAAAACCCTTACCCTGGGGTAAGATCGAGTAAATTTTGGAACACGCGTCCATGGTGTTCATCATGTTTCTGTGTTCTGCGATTGTAATCTATAGTATCCACTGTCATTCAAGCAGATTCACAGGCCTTTCTCGTGAATGTGAAGAGGATATTGTGAAACGCCTCTCCTACATGCTGTCTATTTTAAGGCGAAAATGTTTCAATTAGTCTTACAAAAAGTTATTTTTTCTTCTACTTGCAGGAATTGATAACTTCTTTGCCATTCGGACGTATTACTCTAAGCTAAGAATAATAGGCCATACCTCAAAGGCTCGTTAAAATAATCTCGGCGATCATATCACACGATGGCAGAAAAAGTGTTGTCTCGCACCGGCAGATCAGACAGGCTCCAGAGCAGTTGCTTGGAACGCCTGTTAGTAGTTAGAAGGGAAAGCCTCGGGAGGTTCACCAATATTTCTTTTTGCTTGTTTTCAGTTTGTCTTCTCGGAGGAAAATTTCCACTGGGAACTACGCTAAAATACCAAAAATTAAGAAACATATTGTGTAGCGTGTATGTTGTTCGTGTAGCCTTCCGCAACACTTGCTCGCCTTCCAACCCACCGTTGTCCGTAAAACGCGTCGAGGGGACCCCAGTACAAGAGAGAACTCTGTGGCCGTCCGGCCGTCTGGCTTCAATTAGAAGAGACTTCAACGGGACCGCCAGCTTCGACAGCTTTGCTCCCTCCGACAACGAGGGTCACGGGTGGGAGGCAACGCTTACAAGACGAGCTCGCAAACACCTGCTCGTCTAGGAAGGAAACTTTATAATGCCCCCTACTCACCGTTCTAAAGGGTGGGGTCAACGTTGGGTGGGGGACCCAAATGGACATATTGCGAGCATTACATATTATTGGACGCGAGATTAATAAGTGGGTCCGTGTTCAATATCGAACCTCGCGCCACAAGAGCAGCACTAAACCTCTCGTAATTTCTTATCTTTTTTTTTTTCTTTTTTTATCGGGCGGTAGCTTGCGTTACCTGGCCGCATTATTACGCTTGAATACACCTATTTTGAAATTATTTTCAAAATTCTTTCTGTTTGTCCCGATTCGAAACAAGCAAAACCAACGTTGAGCCAATTTGTGGAAACCCCAGTGCTACCGCCACATCCGTTACCCTATCACGTGACCGAACCAGGTTGGATTTAGTACGCGCGGTGCCAAATGCTTTCGCCGTCGGCTTGCTTGCGAGTGCGTGGGGCCCCGACCCATGTGCTAAGTTGCGAGATGTTTCGCGATGCTTGCCGACGGATCTCTCGGTTTTCGGCCGGTCCTCACCTCTCCGGACACAAGCGAACGGCCTCGTTCGTGGCCCAAACCCGTACAGACACGGCCGGCCTAGAAGAAGAAGGCAAGTGGTTCACACCACTCGGCGCAACCTCTCCACTTCCCACGCCCGTACTACATGGGTTGGGCTATTCTTTAATCTGAGCATATTACAGCAGGGTGAGAAGGGCACAGAAGTCCTTCGGACGGCTCGCCTCCAGTGTGAGTGGCCTAGAGCCTGCACGCGCAGCCAAAACCAGCGAGCGCGTACTGGAGCTGAGACCCCCTGCCCTGCCCTGGCTCGTGCTTTACTTTCGGGTATCCTGAAGTGGACGTTGTCCACGGGACATAAAACTGCCTTTTTGAAAGCTAAAGACTCTTCTACCCTGCCTATGCCCATGGTGGCTTTTTTTTTTTTTTTTTTTTTTTTGCGACGTAATTTTTGCAGACAATACAAGCTGCAACAGCCAGTCCGGCCTTTTCCAGCGTTTGTATTCCCACACAAGCTCCGTCATCTCTCATTTTGTAATCAAGTTCAAAGAATGGGACCTAAACTTCACCTCCTACCACCTGCTTGTACTAAAACCTTTTTTTTGGAAACTGGGAAGTACGCCAGCGAAGGATGGACTGTTGTAGTTCATATTGTCCGCGATAGTACACCATATAAGACTCATGGCGGGGAAACCAAAGTTTGAAATTGATTGCTTGGTTTGTTTAGGTGTTCCTGCCATTGAAAGACCAGTCAAAGCCGTAGGTTTCTTACGGGAAGCTCTTTTTCTATTGTATTGTTTTATTGTTAATGGTGCTTACCTTTCACGTGCAGATGGGCAGTTTAGGAAACTGGAGCTGTACAGACCGAAAGAAGTCAGAAAGAAGAAAAGGACAGAAATAAAGTTTGATGTGAGTGGTCAAATCTTTATTTCTTTGTTACTTGTTACTTGCAGAGTCTTGTTGAATTGTGTGTACAAGGCATAAGGTTTCATCCAAGTGATGTACAATCTAAACAAATTCTTTATTCTAGAAGAAAATAAGAACTTCCCCTTATTTTCGTTTCTTAGAGGCGTGCTCGCTCTGCGAATCCAACTCCATTATTTGCACAATCGTGCAATTTCAAATAAATTCCTTGTTCTAAGGTGAGCAGTCGGAGATAAAAACTTTCGCTCAAGTCGTAAGCCTAAACATTACCAGCGTTATATGATTTTCTGCAACTGGGAAAATATACCTCGTCAGATTAGAAGGCTAGTAGAACCATTAAAATGTTTGTAGGGCAGCCTTACAATGGGAAGATTAAAACTTGAATGTATATCCAATAAATGTGCATTATGTCAATGTAGCACTAAGCAGCATTGACAATCTCCAATTTCAAGGTGGTCATCCATATTGTTTTATTATAATTGTATTCCTCATTCAAAATTAATGCCCTAGTAAATATCATGAAGCATTCAGAGGATGAGGATTGATCTCTTCTAAACACTCTCGAATACTTTTAAAATGAGATGCTGGTGAAGGACTGACAAAAATAAGTGCATCACTCGGTAAATATTCGGTGTTTCTGAAAATTCCCGCGGATTGATAAAATTACGAAATGTAGATATCTTTTAGCTTTACTTCTTGCACAGCTAAAACTGAAGCTATGTGTACAAGCATGTTAGTCTCGAACAATACTTGCATTGCACAGGCGTGCACACTTGGCAGGGACGCCCAAAAGCTCAGTCTTGTGGCTTTTGCTACTCTCGCCGTGAAAGCAATATGGAGCACGGTTTCAAGGTTTTTCTTGTACAGTGGCAGCTGTCGGCGCCCCTTTCGAGCAAAATCCAGCAACACCCGTAGGCAAATACCCACGTGATCGCAGGACGAGTGTCGCCCCATCGTTGCCGCGCTATTTGCCCGTCCCTATTGCCATGACTCCTCGCACAACCAATTACGTCATTTATGACAAGATGCCCTATCAGTCCCTTGTTCCCCCCTTACCACCATCGCTGATTCAAAGTTGTGGAAAGTTTTCCGGCACATCTACGAAACATTCTATTAGATCATTTTAACCCAAAGGCACGTCTCGGCGTAATTTTCTTGCCAAAAGCACATCTTGTAAAAGCATTCCGCAAAAGGACACACCTCCTCTAACATTACTACTAAAAGCAAAGCTAAAGCAAACCTCCCAAGGTACATAGACTAAACGAAAATCTCTTAAGCTGATGGACTAAAAAAAATCTAAAACACATAAACTAAAAAGAAATTGTTTAAAGCGTATAGAAAAAAAAAATCTAAAGCATATTGACTAAAAGAAAATCTCCTAAAGCACATCTTTCAACGATGCAACATCCGTTGCTGTCAATCGCAGCCTGCTTTGTGTGGTCGTCTGCAATTGTCTTCTTTAGCAGCTCGCCTGTCCTTTTGCTCTCTGGTTTGCTTGACGTGCAAAGTTGCGAGCAAGGAGGTTCTGCCCTCTCGCAGCTCCCCAATCCGAGGCACACACGGATGCCCGTGGACCAGGACTGGCCGAGCGTATGGCCGACGGCGCAGTCTTTCCGGCCGTCCGTGGTCCCGCTGCCGCTGCGCCAGGGCTACGTGGAGCGGGGTGCGCCCCCCGGCAAGTTTGCCAACCTGGAGCTCATGAAGATCCCAAACTTCCTTCACCTTACGCCCGCTCACCTCGCCAAGCACTGCCAGGTTTTGAGGCGTGAGTGTCGTCGCTTCGGTGGCGTTGGCGTGTGGGTCCGGTCAGCATGTGGCGGGTTTGAATCCCGGCCGAGGTGCCCGCAATCTGACGGAGGCTTATTGCGGAGAAGGCGCCGTGTAATCGAGCTTTCGGTTGCACGTCAAAAGATCCCCAGGTGGTCGAAATTAATCCTCAGTCCTCCGCTGGGGCGTGCCAGATGCCCGTCGTTGGTTTGGCACGTAAAACCCCCAAATTTTGGTTTCTTTGGTCTGGTCAGCGCTTCATTCTGTGTCAACAAAGTTGAAGGAGAACCTTTCCAAAGAGAGTTCTTGCTCGAGACTCAGAGACTGTTTAATTTCAGAAAGCGTGTGTGCCAACAGAAGAAGCAACGGAGTTTTTTTTTGGGACCTTTGGGGAGCCTGAAAACGTACCGGTGTTATTGGGGAATCTAGCCGAGTCGTTGCAGATACATAGAAATCCACTGACGCACTTTCTGTGGCAGATAGGCACAATTGATTGATTGACTGATTGAGTTGTCATGGCACAAGGGCCACATTTGGTTGATGGCATACGTAAATAATGGCTACGCTACCTAATGATTAGTGCTGAATACGAAATTGGTATACCTTAGCAAGTTATAGGTTTTTGGAGACCCGAATATCTTAAGAAATTATGTTTTCAGGAGATATAATCTACTCATGACTGAGGAGGAGCATGCGCAGCAAACTTGTAGTGTGCTTTTAGGCAAATATTTGAGCGCTTCAAAAATGTGCCCCTCTTCCTTCTCCTTCCCCAATATCATGATGCGACAAATTTTGTCTGGGAGGGAAGGTGATAGCACCGGCTGTATGCAGGTTTGGTAGTTTACTTTTTTTGCTTCTGTTGCTTTGTCAAGAATCTAAACATATCTTGAGCAGCAAGCAGTCGTGGCGGTCAAGTTCACACTTTTGTTGCTAGTAATTGTCCTTGAGACATTTGTCATGCGGAGTTACCGAGTCAGTTTTTCTAGAGTTCTCAAGCAAGGTACGGAAGAGTTTGAGAATTTGAGAGTGCAATTATTGTGGACATCCCACGATATATTTGACTGTTGCTGCCCTGTTTGAACAGACTGTAAGTGCGCAGGCGAGCTGGTGTTAGCTTATCATGTCGTTTAATACCCGAGACTGTGGCGCAGAAGAGGAAAAAATTTTAGTCAAAGGAACAGACACACAAGAGAATTTCTCAAAACGTTCCCTTTCATGTCTGTTGCTTCGACTAAAAGTTTTTTTCCTTTTCTGCACCTCCGTCTGGAGAGACTGTTCAAAGTCCAACAGTGAGTTCACCTCTAAGCAGGACATGGAATTTTGTCCGACACCAACTGCACATTTTGGTCTAAGCTCAATATGCACATAGATTTGTGCACGATGTGCACTTATGCATAGTTGCGACTTGTAAACGGGATTCCAGCTTTAGAGGCAAAAGCAGAAGGAAACAGTGAATGTAGACCAGAGCTCTAGGCATTGAAAGAAAGTTGTTGCAGCGATGTCTTTTCGCTTTCGTTGGCCAACAGAGTTTTGCACAGAGTGGCCGGCAGGACTGGAGACGGACGAGAAGTGCGAGGAACACTTCCCGGTGGAAGTGACGGACAGCGACTACTGTCACTCGAGCCCCACCATTCGAGACGTCCGCTCCCGGATCGTCACACTCAAGGTCTGCCGCTCCTCCGCTCAACTCCGCTTTACCCTCGACGGGAACGTTATCACATTCCCAACGGTGCCGCCGTGCCGGATCATTTTTATGGGAACAACGAATGGAAAAGAACAATATAATTCAAGCTTGTACTTGTCAGCACTGTCTGTTGCCGCAGCAAGGTGAAGGACGTCCGCATTTCTGGTCACCTCGTGGTTCGGACGTAATCGTTCGGTCAGATTAGTTCGAGGAGGGTCGCTCCCTTCAACTGAATGTCGTCTGCTGAAGGTGCTTCCTTCGGTAACGTGCGTCGTCTGTTTGCAGATCAAGCTGTCTAGGTTGCAGCTCGACTACCACGCCAAGGACAAGCTGCTGCGGCTGGTCAAGGATCGCTACGACCCTGCCACCGACATCCTCACGATTGTCACGGACAGGTCAGTGTGGCATTCACAGGTTCAGTCGAACTCTCAATTTGTTCCCGCATTATTGAGAAGAGGACGTGACTGAAATGTACTCGACGAAGCCTCCACGTTGGGGAAACATTCATTGCTTCAACAATATGTAACGACTAGTAAACGAAACAAACAATGAATGTTTTTTGCGAGTGTCTACCCATCTGCTCGCTCGATCTTCCCCTACGGCTTTGTACGTTACAGGTGTCCACTCAAGAAGCAGAACTACGACTATGCCCACTATCTGCTGACGGCCGTGTTTCATGAGTCGTGGGTGAGCGATTCCTTTAAGTTGGGGTCGACGACCCGCTAAGCTGCTTCTACAGTCTCCGATCGTTGAGACTGGTGGGAAAAACGGGCAGATGCCGTTGGTGCTGCCGTCGGCTCGGCTTTGCCCGATCTATAAAATCCTTCGCCTTCAAAGTGCGGTGTGTTGCAGCCCTGGCTAAGGCATCTCGGGACAGAAGGTTATCGCACGAGTGGCACAAATCATGGTCAAAAGGTTTTTCGAAAAAGTCAGATTCCTCTTTTTTAACTTCTCGAACAGTGTTCTCTGATGTCTGCTTCTCTACTTTCTTATCACTAAGAGGTTAACCTTTGAAGGCTAGCTCCTTTGGAAGTCGCGTTATTGTCGAGCGTGCGGATAAAGACGCGGTTCTGTCTCGCGGTGCAGAAAACGGAACCCTGGGAGGCGGACAAGGAGGAAGCCGACATGGAGTGCTTCCTGTGGGAGAAAAGTCGGTCGGAAGCCAACCTGCACGACTTCGTCCGTCGCATGCGGCAGTCTCTCGGAGACGAGGTAATTTGGCGCGGCCGTAGTCGCCTCTCCCCGATGCTTCCCGACTTGTGGCGAGACCCACGCAATCGCGATATACGACCCACGAGAGTAACTCAATAGACTACTTCCACAAAGTCCTGCATGCAACACGGCGCGCGTTGCACTCTGGGAACTAGTTGGCCAGGGAGGAGGTGGCATGGTTTCGGTTTCGATCGACACGTCGACAAGAGATTATACACAGAGCGTGTACTATTAACGGCCGTTATCTCATGTTTCCTGGTCCCGAGAGCGTCGTTTGTGGTCTCTAAACTAACCTAAATGGCCAGACCTCGAAGCTTTAACACAAGCCTGAGACGTATAGCTTGTCTTAACACATGCTTGCTGAATTTTTGTACTTGAGCCTTCCTGTTAGCGTTCCAACCGAGGTATTTGGACGAGCCAGTGCTGGGAAACTCGACGCTGCGAAGCTCGGGGATCTTGCTTGTGTACGAATCAACAAGCTGTATCAACGTGGATACATCGAGCTCGCGCCTTTACATTAGTGTTCTTGATCAGGCAGTTTGTTTGTTTCCTGCGTCCATAGACGAAATATTATTTTTTGCAATTACTGTTTTTCTTAATATGCCTGAGTATGCGAGGTAAAACTAGGAGGCGCCATTGAAAAGCTCAATTTGAACACACTTCTTATCTCTTATCTGTACTGACCCGCAGCACTGCACGAAGTGAAGTCCCCACCCGCTTGCATTCCACTAATATTCAACATCGCGTATGCGCATAAAGTTATCCTGCCCAATCATATAGACAAATTCGCACATACAGATTGTTTTAAGAAAGCAAAAGTCGAGCACTTGTGTGAAGAATGTCGCACCGTTCGCCGGAAGTGCGCCGGACGGGTGCGCCAAACGAACGAATTCAAAGCGCGTTTGACGGTTGCTAATGGCCATAATATTTGTTATGTGTTTGCTTTCTTCCTACCTGAGTATGCCGAGATAATTTCAGACACACCGCTCAGGCGCAGATTTTGGGCGTCAGTAAAAGCTCGTCCAAAAAGGCTTAGCGAGGAGTAGGGGACGCTTGTTCGGGCCTCCGTCGTAGCTAGCCGATATCAGCGTTTGCGAAAAGTTAATCTTCTATCAGCATAAAATTTGAGTGGGAGATATATGATGACACGAGGAAGACATCATAGTAACTTCTGTGCAGTAGTGAGGTCGAATTTATTACGTTTCCTTAAACGTTCATGCGTAAACGCTGGGTTCAACTTTGATACCCAGTGAGGCTGTGGCTTGTTTTTCGCCCAACGAAGTAACAAGAAGCGGACGTTTGGCGAACAAAATATGTGTAAGGCTCCAGATGAACAAATTTCAGTTTTAGTTCACTGGTACTAGACGGGATTATTGAAATTGAGCTCAAACACGCACTCGTGGGGTGAGGTGACTAAGCCACGATACGTTTGCATATGCACGCACAATATCCGGTGTTTCGGGAACCAAGGAAAGTGCCCCGGTCTTCGTTTTGAATCGCTCGAGAATGAGTGTATTGTATGTTCGTGAAAAATCAGATAATCGAAAACGCAAGCAGCGCGTTCGGTCACGGCGTGATAGCATGAGACGAAACTGCTCAGTCGAAACCAAAACTGAGTGGCCAACTAGTTCCCAGAGTGCACTGCGTGGTATTTCGCCGCGATGGGGCGCGTCGGTTTTGGAAGAAGTCCATTATGCTCGAGTGAGATTCGGATCGCAGCGGCGGTTCTGTGGTGCCTGGAATGCATCTCCGACTGGTTCGTCTACCGCGTCCAGAAAAAGTGGTCCTTCGATCTCTGCCCGACGACGTCGTAAAAGTGTCGCGATGTTGCGGCGGTGCAGGTCGCTCTCTGGCTCGACGGTCCATGAAAGCTTTGGCAGCCGGGAGTTGGGACGCCGCCACGACGGCGACACACGTGTTCCCTCGCGCTTTTTTTTTTCCAGAACTTTCACGCCAAACCGCCCGGATCGTGACGTCTGACAGTGCGACATTCTGGCTTCTGTGACGTCATTTGTTGCCACTTTGGGCGCGTGGGCAAAATGGGACGCTAAACGCACGAGTCCAAGACCCGTTCCAAGCACCCCAGCAGTGCCTCGTAGCTTACTTTAGTTCAAGCAGATCCAAGGAGATTAATCTAGTTTTCACGGACTTTCCAGGAGGCGAAAGGTCTGGAGCACGTCCAGCGGATGTCGGCAGACTGTCCCGACGAAGAGGTTCGGTCGGTGGAAGAGGTCGAGCAGTACGCGGAAGCCGTTTGCGAGATCCACAATGGCGGAGAGAGCGACTACGCTTGGGAGAAGTACAAGAAGTCCGTCTGCTCCCTCCTCGGCCTCGGCCGAGACACGCCCGTCGGCGGAGAAGTTCAAGCTTAGAGGAGCATTCGGCGACGCGATGCCGATCCCCCGAGACATACGGGGCGTTGATAGAGCTTGGAGCACACCGAATAAATGCGTTCCCCTAGGTGCCGTTAGGACCCAACTTCTACGCTTACCGAGACGCTTTGAAAACATTAGACCTTTTCCCTCAAATGTTCGGCGCCATTCGTCGGCGAATTGGGGTTTTTGTTAGTGTCCTTGATTACTTCAACCAGCTAGTATTATGCTTGCATCGTTGTTGCCAACGAAAGTAGTTCAGAAAATTGCAGCGCGTTACAATTAAGACGTTACACTCTCTCGGCACCATTAGCAAGGGCCGATGCCGTCCCACAAGTGCCAGAAGAATGGAGGACACCCGCGTCTACCACCGCTACGTGTGCTCGTGGGCAACACCAGAAAAGGCGCATTGGTTCATTTTTTATACTAAAGATAAACGTTTATCTCCTGTGTACGGTATGTCTTTTTCTGCCTAGTGACTGTATGCCAACGTGTGTCAGATCTTGTTATGTGCTTGTTCAGCTTCGATCCACCCCTCTCCTTACCTTCAGGCTATCTAGTTACGAATGAGGGCACCATACTACCGTTTTGTTCTTCACTGCCAGGCGTCGAGCGATGGCAGAAATTCAGTTGGGTCTCTTTTTTTACGACCTCCGTCATTCCGATTGTCCCATTTTATGCCAAAGCTTGGAGGAACCGTAACCTGTCCCAATGCAGATTCGGCCGCATGAATAAGACGTGTTTTGCTTTGCAACCATTTCTGACACAAAGCACAAACTTTCTAAGCTGAAAGACTCAAAAGGTGCAAAATGTTTCGTAATGGCAACACGGCATAGCAGGTGCTTATTCAAGTGCCGCTGCCTCACAATCTGGCGAATGCGCTTTTCCAGGTTGCAGTTACATTTGGTGTGTAGTGGTTTGTCGGAAGTCGTCGTGTGGTGCAACTACCATTGGCATCTTCCAATTCATGGAAATACCTAAATTCAGCCATTACGAAACCAAAAAACCTAAGAATGCATGGAAATTTAACAGCATTTATTTCTTGCCACATCAACCACAAACTGTCTGCAGGATTATGTACGCAGGTTTCCAAGGTAATAAGGAAGCCCACCGATTTTATCGGGCAGTTCTGTACAGCTTTTGCATATGCTGGACATATGGTATTTGGCCTAACTATTTCCTTACATTAGCAGAGATATTATGACACTGTTGAGTATTTTATTTAAACATAGTTCCAGGTGAAATGTTTTTTTGTGGTTTGTACATTTTATTTACAATTACAAGAAGTTTTTTCAAATATTAGATGTGATTATCTCTTAACTTGAAGTTAATTACAACATCCTATTTCAGAAATATCTCCCTTGCAGCCGAAACTAGTTAGATCAATGACCTTGATAGCTTGTATCTCAATGAGGATCCACTTTCGTTAGCTTTCCGAAACGTTTCAACAGTTTTTGGTTTCCCAAAGTGCATCAAACCAAGAGCTTCTTTTTTTCCATTTACTCGGGGTCAGATGGCAGTTGGCTGTCAATATCGACCTTTAATGTAACAAATGTAGGAAAATGCATCAGCGTACATATACAGCTGCTCTCCTCTAATCCTATAGAACTCGGGGCAGTTTGTTGCACCCAGGAATCGACCGTCCCTTATCAAGTCGTATGCTAATGTGTATCCTTCGGACGTCTCTATTCATGAAGAAAAGCACAGACTGTGCTGCTTCCAGCTAGACACACTCAACACTATAGGATCCCGGCCTGTTGTCCAAACATTCACGTCAGAGTGGCGTAGCCTTTTGCAAAGAGAGGTCCGTGATGGTCCAATCGGGCAGCTGTCCGGGGCTGTAGTTGCGATGGAACTTCGCGAAGAGGAGGCACATGAGAGTGCGGCCGGAGCTTGGGGAAGACTGGTCACTGTCCATGTTTTTCACAACCAGGAAGTGGACGTCTATGTCGCAGTAGTTTTGGTCTGCGGAAAGGGCCGAAAACAAAAAGCAATGAGATGCCAACTGTCGCCGTGCCACCAAAAGGGTACGGGCAGGGGAGGACGGTAAGTCTCATAAGTCTCGCAACAGCAATGGATGCCTTTTGGTGACGTCTACGCCAGTAGCAAATGATTATACTCTTTCTCACGTGAAGAAAAAAGAAAAATTTGCGCACTGTTCGCGTGTTGCGTGAAGTAGTACTTGCAAGATTTGATTGTCGAAGGAAGAAACGATGCTTGACATTTAAAACGAGTTATGTCTCAATAAAATGACAAAGCTAATCTCTGAACACCTACATATATCTTAATTCGAGGCAAGAAGGGCAAAGTTAGAGACGTTCTGTGAGGAGCCGTTCTTTTTTACCACAATCCTGGAAGTGAACAAGAGTATAGTTGTCATTATTTTCTTCGGCCTTTATCATATATGTATGCATCATGCATATCTATTTTATACGTGATTCCTTTTAAACATTATCTCCAGTTTAGAAAATTTTCTAGGGTTTTATGTTATTTGTAACATGTTCGCGGTTAGTGACGAAACCGGAAAGTCTCCACAATGGCTTCAGCACTGCACCATGCGAAGCTTATCAAATTTAGTCTCATCACAATGTGCATACAAAGTTTCACCACCCTAATATCCCAAAGATGTCCCCCCAAAAGATAACCTGCCACCTACGTTTGGCATGAAACACCAAAAGATAGCCTGCTTCTACTAATTGCAGGGCCCTGGCCAACGGTGACCTGAGCAAAAACGGTATTACTCAACCTCGGCAGGAGATGAGCGAACACTGCTGACTCTGACTGGGAAGGACAGTGGTCCTTGGTTCATCCCTGTGATCGCAAGTTTCGAAGGACACAAAATCTAAAACTAGCATTTTTTCAACTTTTCTTTGTGGCACACCGGAAGTTAGCCAACCTCTTATTTTCACCCAATCTGCTTTCTATTTTAGGTGGGCTACCTCGGAATATTATGCTACTCTTCGTCACATTGGGGACTTTCGTTAGCAGGGCTTGCATGGCTGCTGCATGCCAAATTTTCCATACTCTCAGTCAAAGTGGCGACTTTCATTGGCAGGGCGTGCTATTGTACTTTGGGGACTGCGCACAAAGCGATGCAAAAGTATAAAGTTGTCATACCCACAATAGACTGCAGCTTGACTCTATAAGGCATGGCAATGATGTCGTCGACATCTTTCAGATGCTGCGTGTTACCGTAGCCGAGCATCTCCGAGGCTTGCTGAATAAATTTGCTCACTGCCTGCACATGAGAACAGAAACGTGCATGCCTGGCAAATGTGAAGTACAGAAAGAGCTAATGTCTAAAAAAAAAAAAAAAAAGACTCGTGCGCTACCTCTCGTCTGATGAGCCCAGTGAGGTCGTCCAACCTTTCGGTGGCAATCAGTGACAGGACTGTGGAGATGGCCTGGAACGGATGCCCAACAAAAGATGCACATTGATATCTCATTAATATGAATACCACGCTATCTGGACAACATTTTGGGGAAACGAACTGGGTAGATACAAGCATTTCTGTTGTGATAATATGAAAAACACTTTTTTTTTTGGAGGAGGAGGGGGCAGGAGGGAACAGAGTTGTTTTTATAAACATGACATCAATGTATGCAGAGAGCAAGTCGTCCGCTTCTCGCGCAGGAGTTGTGGTGCCGTCAGAAAGGCACTGACCTCTGATTGGCTCTGATTGAACAATAGTGGGTAAACCTCAAAGCAAGCTGCCTTGAGGTCTACCCACTATCCTTCATTCAGAACCAATGAGAGCTCGGCGTTCTGGCGTCACCACAAACCCTGCAAAAGAAGCAGACGAACTTGCGCTCTGCATTCATGTTGATATCAAGAAATGCTAAACAGGCAATGAGTTTAATTTTCCTTTCTGGAGGAATTCGCTTTGGTATACCCTGCATTAGGGTAATGAAAGGAAAGAGTAAAGACCAATATGAAAATAAAAAAATTTTTTAGTCTTGTTAAAAATTATTTGGTCTATCGGCGTTTAAATTGCACTGTTGACGGCGAAATGAACGTCCACAAAAGCGACTATGAATGAAATCACTGTTGACAAAGCGGGTGTCGACAAAATGAGTACAGAAATCTCTCGCCATATTATCATTTTTGTGATTGCTGGTTTAACAGGAATTGCTTAAAAAGCTGAGAATCCACAACAACCAAAATCGTGATTTAGCTAGGGGTCTGTGGGCCTGTTTATAGCATTTTTAGCGTTTCTAAGGTAACATCAGCGTCTCTGAGGCTGTACGAAAATGATAATATTGTAAGAGATTTCTACAGCTCAGTCAGGTTGAAGGGTGGATCACATGCACAGTATAAAAAACGCTGACACTGACGAGAAGTTTTAAAATAGGACAGGTCCTTGGACTCTACACAACGCTTGTTCAGGGTGACTACGGATAACACTCAAAACTACAACTATCGCATAAGTCGAAATAAACGATCACTCGTGATTCGACGCCGCCTGGCGACAACGCCGAGAAGCTCAAGAGAGAAGGTCATTTCAACTCTGTTGTTTGTTATCGCTGCTTGGTTCTCGTAGGCAGCAAAGAAACGGACACTGTTTCCAGTCATTATTTTTATGCGTCTGCCGTGTCATTCCTATGCACTGACTAGAAGAAGGTTTTTACCGTCGAAAAATCACTTTGCTTTCACATGCAACACCGCTTTTACGCTGCAGTGCAAGACATTTGTGATGGCCCGCCTGCTGAACGATGAAAACGACATCCTTTCTTCCGCCATTTTGCCTGAACAGCGCGCCCCTATACACAAACTCAACTCTGTTACGTCGCAACGCGGTGGTGGTGCATTGAGCGCACTTCCGGTCTGGGGCTGCGGGCGGAAGTCACCATGCCGGTTCTGCATTCCTGCATAGTTTTGAAAGAAACCAGACAAAAACCTGCCTTCTCGTCAAAACGCCACGACTGGAGCTGTACCAAAAGAGTCGAGAAAGGTTTGAAGGTCAGTTTTCATGTGCTCGGTTCGTCCGAGAATGTGGATATGTGCCGTGAAAAAGGAAAACCAGACTCTGTCGGACCATTATTGCTTGGGCGGGAAGCACTTTGGGTTGAATTCACGGATACTTGTGGCCATCAGATTTGTTTTGTTCCAATATGAACGCCGCAAAACCGCCAAGTTTTACGGACCACCTGCGGGCTATGTTCAGTGCGTCTTCAAGTTCAAACGGCTGCGGCCTGCCCGATCCTTCGAACTGTCGTCTGTTCTTTCACTTGTTTCTGCTTATCCGCTTTTTGAGACGACATCGGCCCGTAGACCAAACGTTGGCCCTGTAATTGCGATAATAAGTAAAAGTAGGCCTCAAAAAACTTAAGTTTGAAGGCTGGTTGGATAAGTAGGCTCAGTGTAAACAGTAGATACAAGACGTTGATCATTGTTAGTGGTGGCTATCACCGACTTGTTATGCCTGATCCACTAGGTTCGATTCTGCTTGCGATTCAATATCGACATTGACCATCTCAGTTACAGTTCACGCTCTTGCAGCCCCAGTGACGTCACGACTGAAAATTGCGAGCAGAATCTCGCCATGCGAATCAGACTTTAGTGTCCATTCTGCGACATTGCATTTCAATGCTTTGTTTATGGGCGACAGCGCGCTTTTTGCCCACACTCCATTGCGCATGCGCGGCGCCGGTGGCGTCCATTATGGGCGACAGCGCGCTTTTTGCCCACACTCCATTGCGCATGCGCGGCGCCGGTGGCGTCCATTAGGGGCGCTGTAGTGTGTAAACATGAGTGGGTCTATTGGCGACGTGTGCAATCGAAAGTGTCGCTGTGGTCAGTCTTCCACGATTCGCCGAATGCTGACTATGATGTCAACAAAGGCTTTCTCATCCGCAGAAATAAGAGCAATGTATGAATTTCAAATTTGAAGGTGTTCGCAGAGTTGGTTTCAGAGCTCAATGATTTGGCCTTCCACCATGCTCATAACAAACACTATCAAACTAGTAGTTTGCAAGGTCGAACAACTAGTTCACGTTACGAGAGGGAACCATAGGAGGGCGCTACTAAAACATCTCGCCGCTAATAGTTCGCTGGAGTTGCGAATAGAGCTGAAGGACCTACGTTCCCATGATTCCTCGAGTGTGGGCCGGGGCGCTTGGGAGATTTAGCAAAGGGTCTAGTGCACATAAGCAATTCTCGGGGGCTCAAGTACCTGTTTGGTGCCTACGATGAATTCCTTCCTGTTGAAATCGGGATCCCATCTCTTCTTGAGTTCTAGAAAATCGAAAAACACGCTGAGCCAGCGGAAAGGATTCTGCAGGATCAGTGATTTGCTCTTGGACTGCTGAGCCGATCGGTTGTCTTCGCGGTGACTCGGAGAGGTGTGCAGGGCTCCAGAGACGATTCTCGGCTGCATTTTCAACAGTAGCCGGGGAAAAGGCACAGCATAGCTCGTCCGCAGTGTCGAAAGTAGCGTTAAGGAATAACGTATCATTTTTGAGAGGATTTCAGAGTTGCCAAGCAGCGTAGCGCGCTCAACGTAGCAAGGGGGCCGCCATTTTGTCTTTTGCTTTTAGGCTTTGGCTTTGCGGCCAGACAAATCCGCGGCCAGAGCCGTGCTTACAGCTCTGGCTTTACTTTAGGTATTGTGTGTGCTACCTTGCGTTTTTATTGTACAACTTAAAACGCTTTATTTTTTAGAACTAAAATTTGAAAAAATATATGCAATTGAAAAGTTTTAAATTGAGTCAGACTTGCTTAAACATAGTAACAAAAGAGCTATAGTCCTACCGGTCCTACCAGTCCTACCAAGGCAACGTCCTTGTACCCATGTTGTACCCCATACCTCGTTGTTGTACCCATAGAGTTATGTGTGCTTGTACCAAGGCCATAAATATGATAAATATACTAAAACGTAATATAGTTTATTTTATACATTTTAAGATGGCGCTAGTAAATGCCCGATTGTTTGGTTTTCTGGTGATTTGCTTGCTTGTTTTGTTGGTTTGTTTCGAGGCTATCGCGCGTGCGCACTTGGCGGCGGCGGTCAACATGGCGGTTCCTGGGATGAAGCCAGCTCTTCGGTCTCTGCAGATTTTCGTCCTGCTCGTGTTATTCACGCAATGGGAGTGCGTGATTGCTGGTGAGTACTGTCTTCTACCAATCAAATCCAGCTCTGATCTCGTGATGTCGCCCTTTTCATAGCGAGCGGACCATTTCCGAACAACTCGAGAGACCACGAGACAGACGAGCTTTTTTGTCGTCTGCTCGCAGAGTCGACGAAAACATCGTCTGGTAAATGGAGCAGAGGAAAGCAATAAACGCTGTTGTAATCGGTCGCTACTGAAATGTGACGTGACTACGACGGACATGCGGTCACGCGCTTAAAATGATATCCTAAAAATCGAGCGAAAAAAAGATTAAGAGCGTTTTCTTTTTTGGAGGGCGGTTTGCCACCCTTCCGTATCCAGTGGTTACGTGTGGAACTGCGCAAAACAAAGCTTACGAAATCGATTGGCTACTTATTCGTCGCAAGAGTAACGTATTGGTCGTTTCAGAATACACACAGGGAGCCTTGCAATTTTTTGTTAAGTGTATATCCGTTGTCACGGTAAACCGATAAAATGCTGCGGATTTTCCTGCATACATTGATATATACCTCAGCGACTCGACTCGTGCATATACTCCATTCAGATAAGAGCACCGACGATACGCGCTGCTTCGTTTAGCAAAAATAAAAACAACCAACTGATTCTGCATATATGTGTAATACACATACATTATGATGATGCATGTGTATACATTACACGTACTTACACGTGATATGCTGCATATGATATGTATAAGGGTTCAAACCTGATCAGCTGTCTGAGATATCCGTTCTGGGTGGTCTCAATGTTCTATGATAGTGACTTTACCTGAGGCATGGTGTTTTCTAGTGTACGAAACAAACTTAGAGCCGTCTCATTTTTGTTTGTTTATGTTCTGCCATTTCGCCCCAGAGTCATTCAAGTTTTGTGTGTTCGTTCAGTCGAAATAGTTTGTCCAGTTATCCTAGTTCTCATAAACACATTATTATTATATTTTCTTTTACACCGCGGGAGCTGTATACGCTTTTTTTTTTCTTAAGAAACAAATCACGATCAGTAAAAACTGCGTAATTGCATAACACCCGATGCCAAACGGCATAAATATTATGCGACGTATGCGTCCGTCATCCTCAAAACGTGTACCTATATCTCGATGTAGATAAGCATCAGACCGTTTATAATTAGCGCATTCATAGCTCGCCCGTACTGCGAACCCGACAAATTTGATTACCGTCGTGCTGACGTCATATATGCAGTTTGGCTGCAGGATTCCCTAGATCAAAGAGAGATACGCTATCAGTCCCGTAAGATCAGTAAACTCGCAATGTCTTCCATGCTTTTTTGTACGGCACCTATGCAAGTACTCCGACTCCAAAAATCTACTAAATTAAAAGAAAAAAGATGGCGTTGAATTTGTTTACGTAAGATAGGTTCAACACGCGGCAAGGCCTCAGCAATACCACTGCAGCTGCACCTTTGCAAAACTCTTTATCTCTTACGAAGTAAAGCCGGAAGTTCGCAGCGCCCGTTTCTTCGTAGGTCGAGGCGAGGTCCCCCTGGGTGAACGTACCGGTCCAAACGGAAAGGGAGTAGAAGACGGCCGGGAAAGGGAGTAAAATATGTAGGAGATGCTAAAACAAAACACTGCCGGGGAAAGAGTAAATGGTGAGAAAGGGAGTGGACGATGGGAAAGAGAGTAAATGGCGGGAAAGGGTGTTACTTGCCAAAATAAACCCCAAATAATTACCCTTTTTTTTGTCAAGAGTTGGATTACGATTTGCACCTGCTTGAGGGTGTTTGCGTGTTTCCGCTCCATTATTTGTTAATCGCAATGGGCGCGTTCAGTAGCGGCCCCGGAGTCAAGGAGTCACTGACTCCTTCCACTGGACGGCCAAAAGTCACTTCCGGTGCACGTAACTCCGGGGCTTCGGAGTCAAGCTCCGAAGCACCGAGTCCGGAGACGGTGCACGTAGAGTCAAAGGAGCTAAAATGACGTCATTTCCTGACTGACGACGATTTCCGGCGCTAAAAGAGGAAACAACAAACAATATGGCGGGATAAACTGCTTCGGTTCTGTCGCGGGTGCGCGGTTTGCTCGCTTTAGTGCTCTAGGTAAGACGAATAACGCTTTCGAATATCTTTTTCAGGTAAGGCTCTTTTGGAAAATGCATTGGACAGTATTTTGTTTGGATTGAATATGCTAATAAACAACGCAAACGTTCATTTGACGCTGTGTCTTGATCACCGTTGCACGGAAACTCGGTAATTGACGATAGTCCTGTCCGCGCTCAACAGAGCAAAACAGGGTATGAACGCGACTTTGGAAGCCGTTTGGACACTCACGCAGAGCATGATACCGATTAATGTTTTGTTTGCGTAGCTAAATCGGGGTGCACGTTGGCTGAGGCTCGCTTCGGCCGACAAAACCTTGATCGCCGAGCGCGGCCTAACTTAATCCGTGTGTATACGAATACATTTTATGGGAAGTTCGTTACGAAGGGCAGAACAAACTTATGGCCGTATAAAAGTATCGCAACCGGCGGGGTAGATTCGCTGAGCTCTGTATTTTGCGTGTGCTGACGACGTTTTTTGTCGGCTTTTATAACAGTAGCTGCCTTTGCACCGCCAAGCGAAGGGCTCGATCGCGTTGCATCGCTTCGAACAGCAGCGCTGATGTGTACAATCACCCGCTTTTTCTTCAACGACCTTGTAAAGACTTTTTCAATACCGGGGTCAAATAAAAGCGATCGTGCTCGCCATCGTCTGCTTCCAGTTTATTCGGAGACCGTCTGGCGCAGGGGAGGAAGCGGAAGTTGCGTAGAAGCAGGCTTGGAACCGCGGGTTTTTTTGCCGTTCAGTAGGCGCTCCGATGACTCCAACTCGAGGCACTCCGTTCGGAGGCAAGGGAGGCGCTACTGAACGCGCCCAATGGGTCGGAAACTGGCCGTGTATTATTATTTAGCGTCGCAGCCGGAGGCGAAAGGGAGCGTCGTGGCATCCGTTATGTAGATCTTGCTGTCATTTCCGGGTTGGCGACATCCCCTCATTGTTCCGACTATAAATTAAATGCGCGGCATCTTTCCGCGATTCTTTCATCGATCTGTGATAAACAACAGTCCTCCACTTCGAGAAACGCCCCCCGGCCGGCAGGACATACTACCTGCTATTCTATTTTGTTCTTATTTGGGAGCCGTAAGATAGATTACGGTTGGACGTCATTTGGCAAGAGAGCGAACCAAACACCAATGTATTTCCCAATTTGCTCTTGTTACAAATGGAAGTATCGTATTTTCTGGTAGCCCACTGGCTATATATGCCGAATGGTGCTCGTATTATTTATTTTTGCTGTTTGACAAAAATTTTTTTTTTCTAGTTCGAGTGTTTTCTTGAATTGGAAATGTGGCGGGGTCGTTCCTCTCCAAAAGTCGGTATCGGACAGATCTGCCTCAAACTACCGCCCCATTGCATTGTTAAGCTCCTGCTCGAAAATCTTGGAGCATATTATCCTTAAACGCATTTCGAAGTTCTTTGAGACTAGATCTTTTTTTTTTTTTTTTTTTAATCTGAATCAGCGCGGTTTCCGGCGGGGATGATCAACCACAGCGCGACTTGTTGAAACCATTCGTGACTTTTCGCGATCACTTAATAATAGAGATAAGGTGGACGTTATATTTTTGGATTTCGCAAAAGCGTTCGACAAATTAAGTTTCCCACCGTAAGCTTCTAGCCCAAACTATCTTCACTTTTACTAAATTAAAAGTTGATGTTGTGGTTTCGAGAATACCTCTGCAACACGTCAGTATGTTGAAGTAAATGGCTGCGAATCATCCCAGTCCGATGTTAATTCGGGAGTTCCCCAAGGATCGGTGCTCGGTCTTTTTCTTCTTTTTTCCCCATTTTTATCAACGGCATTGCGCATAACATACCTGTAACTATGCGCCTTTTTGCTGACGATATTATCATGTAGACCGAAGTAAGATCAATGGCGGATCAAGAAGAGTGCTGGTTTAATCAAAAGCGAGTAAGTGGTGCGAGGAGTGGCACATTTTCTTAAACTTAAATAAGTAGGTATTTATGCATATAACGCGAAAAAAAACGATTTCCCTTTTTAACTACAATGTGAGCGATCTCCCCCTTTCACTAGTTACCTCGAATAAATACCTGATTATCACAGACGTTCTATGATGGAACTGCCACATCACGCGTCTCAGACGCCCTCCATTAAATAAACTTTGCTACTTCAACTTCAACTTTTTTGTTTCTCTCCAAGGGAGAGGGGGAGGAAGAAAAAAAAAAAAAAAGAAGCAGACTGTTGTCGCTTGACAAAGTTTCTCCTCTCTACCAGCAACGAAAAAAAACTATTTTACATACTGTATAGTGACCCGTAGAACAAGGTTTACACAAAATCAAAACACACAACATATAAAAAAAATTGACGTACATCACGAACATTTTTTGCAGGTCGGAGGTCCCATCAAATAGGCACAAATAACACTATAGAAACAATGAACGAATATCCTTTCTGCTCAAACTCATCAAATCCGTGCCCAGTCTATGTGTTTTGTTCATGACATTAGGTAACGAGTACTGCAACATCTGGAAGCCGTAGCCTGTTCTCGAGCGAGGCGTTGACCATGTGTCAACACAGCGGCCTGCGTATGCAGGCACTCTCCGCTGCATATTGGCGATTGATAGAAAAACAAGTTGATTTTGCCTTACAGACGTTTGATATCTTAGAAAAAGTTTATAATTATAATGGTCTGTAATTGGCACTATATGAAGGTTTTTGAAAAGTTGTAATGTGTGAGCGTTGAACTCCGCATTGCACATAATTCGAATTATTCTTTTCTGGAGAACATGCGAGCGATGTATATTTGTAACCATTGTGGTACCCTAAACAAGGAAGCAGTAATTATTGCATGAGTAAAAGAGGGAGTTATAAAGAAGAATTAAGACCGAAAGGGGTAATATATGACGGAATTTATAAATGATGCCCACAACTTTTGAAAGTCAGCCAGCTATGCATTGTACTTTGGCGTCCCAGCTCATGTAC